TGTGGGCTAGAGGACAGCTGGGAGGGAGGAAGAAAAATTCAAAACTCAAAATCTTGTAAAAATGAATGCTAAAAATTGTCTTGACATGTAATTGGGGGAAAAATAAAATACTATTAAAAATAATGAGAATGAGCTGACCTATGGGGAGCAGTCCTAGAAGCCCGTGCAGTTATTCCCTGCCTGACTCCTCACAGGGGTGAGAATAGAGGTGAATCATCGGTATGGGGACGTGTGAGATGAGGAGGGAGAGAAGGGGAAGCTCTTGGTCAGTGTCCTTAATTGTTCCCTGAAGGAAGAGGCAAGGTTCACAGCTGAGAGAGTAGGAGTAGGACAGATTTAAGGAGGAATGACAAGGTTTGGAAAAGCCAATCTGGTAAGTGGGAGAGGGAAACCATTAGGAGTATGGAGAAGCATTGCCTTGCTGCAGGTCGGGCCCAGGTAAGGTCATGTAACAGAAATCTGGAGTGGACCTAAAGGAAATTATTTTGGGGTAAGTCTAGAGAGGTGAATGGAGTAAGATTACGGAGCCACAGCATAGCTAGATAAACCAGGTAGGAGGGCCACACATCTAGGAAATATCTGAACTCAGATGTGAACTCAGATCCTCTTGGATTCAAGTCGAGGCTGCTTTCTCTAGGAATCTGCATTTCATCATAGATGCAGCAGAAGTGGAATGCAGACATAGATACAGAGGGGAGAGGCTGGAAGCAGGGGGATCAACTGGGAGAACGTTCAACACTTCAGACAGTGCAGAGGTGAGGAGACCTGATGTAGGACGAGTGCATAGAGCCGAGGAAGAAGTCAAGGATGACTCCAAAGTGAGGAATGTGAAAGACTGGGAAGATGGTAGTGCCTTCAGCAGAAACTGGTTTGGAGGAGGGGCAGGCTTAAGAAGAATGAAGAGTCGTATTTTGGACACCTTGAGTTGGGACACTCGGGAGATGTCCAGCAGTTAACTGATAACAAATATAGACACTAGATCGCTAGAAAGGCTAGGGCTGGATACATAGATTGAGATTTGGGATTCATCTGCATAAAGATAATAATCGAACCCAGGGGAGCTGATGAGGTAGATCACCTAGAAAGAGATAAGAGCCACAAGAGATTCTTGGGGGAGACCCCCAGTTAGGGGGTAGGACATGGAGTATGATGCAGCAAAATGACAGAACAGGACCAGTTAGGAAGAGAACCAAGAGGACAGAGTCACAAAAGCCAAGGAAGGAGAGAGGGTCTAGGCTGGAGGACAGGATGGCCGACAGCATCAAAAGCTGAGCAGAGTTTAGTAGAAAGAGGACCACTTGGGGAAGAGCTGTTTCATTACAGCAGAGGAAAAAGAAACCTCAAGGTAAGAGGTTGAAGCAGTGGAGGGAGGTGTGAGGAGCTAAATGGAGGAAGTACAGTATACAGACAGGGTGATGGCTTAAGGGGATGGATGACTGGGTCAAATGACAGGTTTAAGATAAAAGACCCTTAGGCATGTGTAGACATCTACAGAATCCCGAAGCTGGAATGGACCTTGGAGGCACCTGGTCTAACCTGGACCTGAACAAGAATTCCCTTGACACCGTCCCTGACAAGTGGTTCTGCTGCCTATTTGAAGTCCTCCAGTGCATCCCAGGCACTCCCATCTTCCTTGGGGCATCTCTATTTGGTCACGAGTTTTTCCTTGTATTAAAGAGAAACTTTTCCACTAATTCCCAGCTACCCTCCAAAGGTCCCTCTCAAAATTTTAGATGCAAAATCCTTTTGTTGAGTGTAATTTGTCATTCAGTCATTTTTGTTGTGTCCGATTTTTCCTGGCCCCATTTGGGGTTCTCTTCCCAAAGATACTGGAGCAGTTTGCCGTTTTCTTCTTCAGTTCATTACAGATGAGGAAACTGAGGCAAACAGGTTAAGTGACTTGCCTAGAGTCACACAGCTAGTAAGGGTCTGAGGCCAGATTTGAACTCGGGAAGATGAGTCTTCCTGACTCCAAGCCCAGCACTCTATCCACTACGGCGCCATCTACTTGCCTCTGTTGCTGGGTAGCCGATGAATAAGTAAGTGGTATCTAACATGGATTTTTTCATATGCTTGTTGCTCACAAAAAACATTGTGTTCACAAGGATGTTTCAAGGGCTGCACATCAAATGAAAATTTTCTAAAAACGAAATAACTTTGAGATTTTTCCAGCAGTCAATTTTCAAAAATTTACAATTCAGCAAGATCTGATTAAAAAATTAAACATACAAATGTGTGGTCCCCATGGTTGAGCTATTTCAGTTCCCTCCTCTAGCAGTCTTTTAATCTGGTCCTTTTTATTATTGGGCAGGGAAGTCCAAGGTAAGGTAGCGAAGGTGACGGCAACTTAAGCCACATCAAGAGGCCCAGTGTTCAGGAACAGGGAGGTAACAGTGCCACTGTCCTCATTGGACCACTAACTGAACGGAGTCTTATGTTCAGTTCTGGATGAGGCCCTCCAAAGATCAGAGATGTTAGGAACTGAGGCTATTAGCAATTTCCAGGTATTTGAAGGACTCTTATAAGGAAGAGGGATTTGATTTGTTCTGCATGGCCCCAGGAGACAGAGCTACAAGGAAATGAGGGGAAATTTCAAAAGAGGCAGATACAGGCTGGGGATGCCTAGATGCATTTACTTCCTCCCTTTCCACTTCTAGCTCTGAGAATAGTAATCAAATCCACCCTGCCATTCCTGGAGAAGATCTCAGATAGGACCCTGCATTTACAAGGCCCCGTCTATCAACTGCTCTGCAACTCTATTCACAATCCTTGTGATACCCCCCACCATAAGATCTCACCCTGGCCACCACTCCCCTAGTGTTAGTCTTCCCCTGTAAACTCAGTGAGGGCAGAGACGGTCTTCTGCTTGTATTTCTATCCCCGGCACTTAACAGGTTGTCATATATGTAGTAAACATTTAATATTTTTTCATTCACTGATAAAAAGCAACTTTCTAACAGTCACGGTCATCCCAAAGTGGGATGTGCTACCTCAGAAGATAGCAGGTTGCTTCTTATTGGAGAATTTCCGAGGAGACGCTGGATGACTGTTTGCCAAGGAAGTCATAGAAGGCATTTTTCAGTTACCGGCTGAACTAATTCAAGAAGACTGGCTTATTATTCTGGGGAGGAGAGATGTGGACTAGACAACAGAAAAATTAGGTGAATTCATAGCTGACTGAATAGCCAGACCTCCAAAGAATAGTAAGTTAATGCTTAATGTCAACTTGGATATGGCTAGCGTAAAGCCCCAGGGTTCTAGGGTTGGCCTTGTACTGTTCAATAGTTTACCAGTGACTTAGGTCAAGGGATGGAAGGCAAGCTTCTTAAACTTGCAGATGCACAAACAGCTGGGTGGATGGAAGTCAGGATTGTAATACATTGCAACCATTTCTGAGACTGAACTAGATCTACTAAGACAAAATTTAACGGAGATAAACGTACACTTGGCCTGAAAACAATCAGCTTCACCAGTACAAGATGTGGGAGGCTGAGGTGGAGAGCAATTTGTCAGGCCATGGGAGGGAACTGTGAGCTTACCAATCAATGAGATAAGACAACTAAAACCAGTTGATTTGAACAGAGAAATATCACATCTTAGTATTTCTAGAGAAACTAAAAAGGAAGGTTTTAATATGCTTTGACACTTGCTTACTTCTTCCAGTATGAGCTGGACAATATGACCCCTGAAATCTCTTCCAACTCTTGTGACTCAGTGATCCTTCATTTACAAAAGCTATAAAGCCACTGAATCTTCCTCGGATGCCAAAGCATTCAAAGTTCAAAATAATCAGAAAACAAAGCAGCAAAACTGGACCATGAACAAACAAACAAAATATCCTTTTAAGATCAAAGAGGAAACTAGGTGGTATGGTGCGATAGTGCTGGGCCCGGAGTCAGGATGACCTGAGTTCAGATCCAGACCTTGGGACGCTCAGTAGCTGTATCAAGTCATAAATCTCACTCAACCTGTTTCCTCATCTGTTAAAATGAGGATGATGATAACACCGACCTCACAAGTCACTGTGAAGATCAAATATTTGTAAAGCACACAGTGACTGGCACACGGCAGGTACTATATAAATGCCCGCTTCCTTCCTTCACAGGATTTAGAAGCGGCTGGACTTTTAGAGATCACCTAACCCAATTTTCTTGTCACCCATCAAGAAAATGGGCCACAAAGAGGTTATGGACTTGCTTGAGGTCACATGATCGAGCAGAAGAGCAGGGACCGAGTCTACGTCTTCTGACTCCAAATCCTCTACTTTCCTTCACCCTTTGCTGTGCCTTCACACCATCTTCCTCTACACCATTTACATCATGAGAGCAAATATACGGCTAGACTACCTCTGATTTAAGTTCTGGGATGGTTCCCCAGGCCCACAAACTATATCAAAAAAATATAGTATGAAGTGGAGTGTAAGAGTGATAATACTAAATAAGTGACATTTAGAGAGCACCCTACAGCCATTACCTTACCTGATCCTCAGTCAATAAACATCAAGTGCCTCTGATACGTCAGGCACCTTGCCAAACACCAGCAATCAAAAGGAGACAAAAGACTGTCCCTGCCTGCAAGAAGCTCACAATCTAATGGTGGAGACAACAGGCAAAAGATACACACAAACTACATACAAGATAAACAGGAAATAACTGACAGAGGGAAGGTTTCCTGTAGGGGATTGAGACCTCAAGGAAGCCAGGGTGGTCAGCGGTTAGACCGGAAGAAGAACATTCTAGGCATGGGGGACGGCCAGAGAAAATGCCAGGAGCTGAGAGATGGTTGGTCTTGTTTGTGGAACACCCAGGAGGCCGGTGCTATTGGACTGAAGAAAGCATGTTGAGCAGTGAGGTTTAAGAAGACAGGGAGAAGGAGGCTAGATTATGAAGAGCTCCGAACTCCAAACAGAGCATTTTGTATTTGATCCTGGAACCACAGAAGACATGGGAGCTGACAAAGACAGAAATGATTTGTCCGTGGTCACACAAGAAGTTGCAGAATCAGGACTGAAGGTTTTATTTTTAATTAAATGTTTTCAATTATCAAGCATTTGGTTTTTTTTTCTCCCTCCCACTGGGAGAAAGAAGTCCCCCTAACAGATAAGCAGAGTCAAGCAAAACCCAAGTCCCATACTGGCTGCATTCGTCCATCCCCTCTGTGGCAGGAGAACTGTGGCTGGTCATCGTGTCGACCGCAGTCCTGCAGGCTTTCAGAGCTGTTTGTCTTCATAACGCTGTTGTGTCACTTCTTCTCCTGGTTCTGCTCATTTCATTCAGCATCAGTTGATACAAGCCCTCCCAGGTTTCTCTGAAATCAATCCTTTCAGCATTTCTCACAGCACAATAATATTCCATACGTTTTATACCATCATTTGTTTTCATTGTTTATTCAATTTAATCTTAGGTTCACATTTTCTCCCTATCTCATCCCTCTTCCCCCCCCCCACACCCCTTGAGAAAGTAAGAAAAGCAAAAGTTGTTACATACATGTATAGTCAAGCGAAACAAATTCTTGCATCCGCCATGTTTAAAGTCTCAGCATGCACTCTGAGTCCAACACCTATCTGGAGGTGGGTAGCATGTTTCATCATTTAACACAAGTTGTTCAGCCCCCAAGTGACTGAATCTCCTTAGTTTCTAATTCTTTGCCACTACAAAAAAAAGCTCCTTCGTTTAGGGTCTTTCTTTCTTTGATTCCTTTGGGGTACAAGCCTAGCAGCTGTTGCCAGGTCAAAGAGCATGCAGTCTTAATAATTTTGAAGGTATAATGAATGCCAGATTGCTTTCCAGGATGGCTGGACCAGTTCACGCCCCCCCCGCCATGGCACACCCACCAGCCTGTTTTCTCACACCCCCTTCAACATGTCACTGGATCTGATGGTTTTGGAGTTTAGTTTTTGGGGGGGGTTGTTTTCCACTATCTAGTCGTTTCTGTTAACAAATGTCCTTGGTGATGTTCTACCAAGTTGGTTTCTCTTCTTTTACTCTTCCTTTTCTTCTGTCAAAAGCAACAAAAGAGGTCTCGGTTGTAACATTTAGCATTGTGAAGTCCTCCAGAGAACAAAAGTTTCTCCTTTGTATGAAGTACATTAGGTATGAGGTTTTGCACCCACCAGCCTCCCCTCCCTGTGAATCTTCTGTCTCCCTCCTTGTCCTTGGGAACTCTGCTGCAATAGTCTGAGATATATTAGTGTATTTACTCGCTTCTCACTAGACTCCCCTCATCTTGCTACTTTCAGCACAGTTCTGTCCAGGATCTTTGCTATATTTCTTACTGGCTTTAGGTTTTAAAGATAACACTGCAACCCTGTATGTTCTCTCTTCCAACCTGCTTTTTCTTTCCTTCCCATTAAATTCTACATAAAGATCTAACTCTGAAGAAGTCTTCTCTGGGCTAAACCTACGTTGTTGCTATTGTTTTACAGACTGTCTTTCCTCACCTCATGCCAGCCAGAAGTGCATGGACTACACACCTCATCAGCACGGGAGTCTGGACCTGCTCCATTTCTAACCTGCATCGGTGCGTCCTTCAGGCGATCTGGCGATCATTCTCTCACCCAGGGGAACTTACTGTACTAATACTGAACTTGGTGAGTGACCGCAATCAGAACACGCTAACACAGTGCAGAACACCACAGCTCAAGAGATAATACCCTCTTCTGTAGCTGAGATTACGGGGATGTGCTACCACCCCTAGTGTTGACACAACAGCTGTGCCATTTAGATGGAAAGGTTTTTTTTCTGGTAAAATACCGATGGCTGATTTATATAGGACTTTATGATTTACAAAACACCTTATACATTTTGTCAGTGATTCTCACACCGCCACCAGTAATGTGGTATAAGCCTCATTCTCATCATTTGGGAAAAGGAAACAGTCTTAGAGTGGTTAAATGACTTGGCCAAGGCCAAGGAGGAAGAGGGAGGGAGGAGGAAGAGGGAGAGAGGAAGACAGAGGGAGGAGGAGGAGGAGAAGGAAGAGGCTGTACCGGGAGGCCGGGGGACGAGGCCCTGAATTCGGAGCTGGGGAGACGCGGATCCGAATCCGGCCCCCGCGGGCTTCCCAGACACTCACCGGGCGACCCTGGGCCCGACACTTGGCCTCTCTGGGCCTCAGTTTCCTCCTCTGTACCACTAGGCCGACAGGGCTGCCGGCGTCCCGCGACGCACCCGCTCCTCCTGTTGCCCCCCCCCGGGCCCTCCCCGAGCTGTCCCGGCGGCGCCCCAGGCCCCCTCCCCACCCCGCCCCGGGAGCCCGGCCTCTGCTCACAGCCACGTCCCGAGCCGGCTTTCTTGGATCGGAACAGCTGCACTACCAGCTGCCCCACCCACTTCCGGCGCGCCCTGCGCTTTCCGGTGACGTCATGCGGCCGGCCGAGCGACCCAGCGGCGCCGCGGAGTCCCGCCCACCTCGCTTCCGGCGCGGGCCCCGGACCGGGCGGACGGCGGCGGTGGAGGTGGCGGGAGGCCGCCGGCCCCTTGCGGAGGCTCCTCCGGGGACAGGATGGGGCGGGCCGGCTCCCCCTCCCTCTGCGGACGTGGCGCCCTGTGGGGCGGGGCCGGGCGCGCCCTCGACTTCCGGCCTGGGGTGACGTCTTTTCCGGGGCGGGGCGGGGCGGGGCCAGAGCTAGGGCCGAGGCCAAGGCCGAGGCCCGGGGCTGCCTGGCGCCCGTGGCCGGGTCCTCAACTCCCGTCACGCTCCATACCCGCGTCCCCCCGCGCCACCTGCATCCTGCGGGTGGCGGCGGCCGCTCCCCGCCGGGGCTGCGCCCGGTAAGAGCCTCGCTGATGCCGGGGCCGGTTGCTAGGGGCTGTTGCCAGGGGCGACGGGAGGGAGGTGGTCGCGGGCGGGGGGCTCCCGGCTTCTCTCGCGAGACTTGGCTAAAGCCTCGCCTCCAAGACCCGGCACGAGTGGTGCGCGTGGCGCCCGGACGGTGTCGCCGGGTGTGGGTTGGAGGGTACTGAGAGATTCCCTGGTCCGCCTCCATGACTTGACAGCTGGGGAAACTGAGGCCGGGGAGGGCCCCCTCGGTCTACAGCTGGAAGGGAAGCCACTCAACCCAGCCCCTCCTTTTACAAGTGGGGAAACTGAGGCCCAGAGACGGGAATGATTTACTCAGTTACGCACAGGTGATAGTTGTCGGACAGGATTGGAACCCAGAACCTCGTTACTCTTGATTTGCCGTTCTGCCCCTTGGCTGAACTAGCAGAGCTCTGGGGGGGGGGGAGCAGGGGAGCTCCCTCTGCCAGGGGCGCCCCTTGCTCAGTGCTGGTCGGAGCCTGGGGACCAGCGCAGAGAGCGCGACTTGCGTGCCCGTCAGCCGAAGGGAACTTGGGCATCTTCCGGGCCCAGCCTTTCATTGGACGGAGGCCTGCCTGAGTTTAGGCAATTGCTGGTGCCCCTCAGGAAGGAAGTAGCAGAAGCAGAATTGGAACCCAGATCCTGTGACTCCCAGACTGGGGCTCCTTTCACAGCATCCCTCTGCTTCTTAAGGGACCGTACACAGACCATGGAAAGGGGGAACTTGAGGGCCCCCAGTCTGTCGAATGAGGAGGCTGGCCAGGGGATGCCCTAAGGGCCCTCCCAGCAGGGAGCCCCAGCCATCCCATTTCACCACAATTCCGTTAAAGCCCCTTGTCCAGCTCTCTTCTTTCCTGCTCCGGGCTCCCAAAGTTTCCGTCTGCCAGGGCCACGTCCTGCTCAGAGCTGTCTGCTGCTTTTTTATCCCCTCCAAGACCCGCTGTACAATCCTCTGCTTTGGCTGTTCAAGCCCTGCCCCACGGCTCCCATCCTTCCCCTTCCAGTAATGTCCAGGCCAGTGGCACCTGCCTGCCCCCGCCTTTAGCTGCTGGCCCCCTTTACTGCTCAGCACCAATCTCTCCCTGTGTAGGAGGCCTTTCCCCATCTCCCCTTCCAATCTGCCTCCCCTCTGTCCGCTTTCCTCCGTGTGAGCTCCTCCAGGGCACAGGCTGTGTTTGTGCTCCCAGACCCAGCGTGATGAAGGCCTCCTCCATACCCCATCCAGTTCTGCTTCATCTTTATTTGTTGGTGTAAATGCCCTGACCTTGCCGCTGCATTAGGAGCTCCATGAAGCAGGGCCTACCCTCTTTGTACGCCCTGTGCCTGGCACAGTGCCTCACACAAGCGTAGGCATTGAATAAATATTTATTGAATTGAATTATCTCCTCTTTCAGAAATAAAACCTCACAGTAAGGTAATTCCATTCTGGGATGAAAGAAATCTCCCTCATCCCTGACTGCCCAGCCCCTCTTAGCTCCATTTCCCTATGGACTGCTTGGTCTGGCCCCCACCTGCTTTGTGCTGTTGGGCCTGTCATTCACTCCAAAACTTCTTGCTATAACCTACTGGCCTCCAATTTATTCTCCTTCCAATCAATTAATCGTTAAACATTTATTAAGCTCCTACTATGTGCCAGGCACTGAATTCGGTACCTGCCTCACAGTCTTTACCCCACCCCCTGCCCTCAATATACATGCAAATATCTCCTCAAATGTCTGAGTTCCTGCCAGAACCTTTGTTTGAGATAGGCAAGGTAACCAGGCCAGCCACGTCTCTGTCCCGTCCGGGCTGTACTCCAGACGTCATCCATCAGGCCTTCCATTTTTGCCCCACCTCAGCTACCCGTGTACTGAATGAAATTCCCCTCCTTGGTCACATGATCTGCCCTTCAGTCTTTCTCCTTGCCTTGGTTCTCTTAAATCCATCCCGCGTCTTCCGTGGGGCCTCCAGTTCTCCCTCCCTCATTCATTCACCTGCTTTTGCTAAATCATGCCATGTTCAGCCCTCATCTTACCCGACTTCTCTGCGTCGTTGGCATGCCTGGCCACCCACTCTTCCCCTTGGCTCTTGGGAGCCCTGGTTCTCTGTCACCTGTCTGATCATCCCTATATGAATCCTGAGAAGCTCCGTCCTGGGCCCTTTGCTCCTTCATTCAGTCATCCCCTCCTTTCCCATGGGCTCACAGATCATTGGAAGGGACCCTTGAGAGGGAATATGAAGTATGGTCAGATTTCCACATCCAGCATGAATTTCTCCCCTCAACTCCAGTCCTCTGTCCTGGCTCTCTTCTGGACAGCTCCTCTTGGATGGCCTGGCAGCTTCTTAAACTCGGCATCCCCAACATGAGTGATAAAAAAGCACAAAGTGCTTCCTGTATGCCAAGGGTGGTGCTAAATGCCAGGCATACAGATAGAGAACTGAGAGTCCCTGTTCTTAAGGTGCTCACATTAGATTTGGAGACAGACTTAGCTGCTGGGCAGACTGGAAGGCCTGGGGTGGGGGGGGGGCATCATCTTACTAGAAAGACTAGGGTTGGTGACCCCGGCTCTTTGAAATGACTCCAGTGGCCATGTTGGTCTGGGGGGAGGGAGTGGAGGGGCCCAAAAACCTGAGTGAAGCAGGTGTTCTGGGCTCACTGCAACCTGCACAGATCTCCTTCCCTTCCCCAGGAGTTAATGAAACTCGGTAGCCTCTCTCCCACACAACGTGTCCTTCTAAATGTCCCTTTCTTTTAATGAGACGCACCACTATCCCAGTCACCCAGGTTCCCAACCTTGGTGTCCTCTCCTCTTCCCTTGCCTCACACTCATATCCAGTTGGATGCTAGGTCTTTTCCATTTTGCCTTCACAAAATCGAGTCCATCCCCTTTTCTCCACATATCTGGCCCCTTCCCTGATTCAGGCCCCATCACTTTGCTTCTAGAGTGTTGTAGTAATCTCCTAATTCGTCTCGGCTTCAGTCTCTCCTCCTACAATCGGTCCTCCAAACACGGCTAAAGGAATCTTCCTAAGGGATGGATGTGGCTTTGTCACCTCCCTGCTCAGAATTATTGGTGGCTCCCAGCTCCTGCTCCATTTGGGGTGAGCAGGGGCCCAGGCCTGGGCCTGCCTTCCTTTTAGCCATTCAGTGAAAACTAAGGACCCCTTCTTAGAATGTTTAGCCAAAGTTCTGGGACCCCTGGGTAAGAACCCTTGTATAGGATGAAATATGGATAGCCAGTTGAGTCTCAGAATTAGAAGAAATTTTGGAGGTGACCTGGTCTAACCCGTAGCCACACCACTCAGCCACATGTTTTTGTTCCGTCGTATCTGACTCTTCGTGGCCCCGTGGGTCATAGTCTCAGTGGAGGGCTTTGACACTTCCTTCTTCAGAGGATTAAGGCTAATGGAGGTCAAGTGACTTGCCCAGGGTCACAGTGTCTGAGGCTGGATTTGAACTCAGGTCTTTTTGACTCCAGGCCCAGAACTCTATCCACTGAGCCACCTAGCTGTCAATTATCCCACTCAACCAGTTATACAGCCCTTACACAAGAAGCATTTATTACATACTAGGCAGTGGGGTGCCCAGAAAATGAGGCACAGTCCCTGCCCTCAGGGAGCTTACGATCTGCTGGGGGTGGAGGAGCAGTGGAGGGGAGAAAAGCACCCGACCGGGGGAGTCGGGAAAGGTTTCCTGTGGAAGGTGGCGGCTGAGCCAGGCGTGGGGGACGCCACCTGTCACAGTGGCCAGGCTGTGGGTGGTGGGGGGTGCTTTGGGTGCTTTGGTTTTTACACATTGCTTTTTAAATTCTGAATGTAAACACCAAAGTAAGGATCATTTCCCTACACACAGTAGAACACAAGAAATCGCCCATTTCATACTGGTTGCTTTAAAAAAATTTTGTAAGGAATCCCACCTCTTATTGTTGAAACTGTTCTGCTTCTCTGTGCTTTCTACTATTCTCTTCTGTGCATTAAAGACATTCTTCAGTGCTCAAAAATGATGGGGTGCAGCACCATTGCTGACTACCTCTCGATGCCTTGCCCCAGTTAAAAATCTAGAGAAAAGATGTTCTTGTTACATAAGAGTATTTAAGGCGAATGAATGACCACCCTCAAGGGCCGCGATCAGAAAAGTCTGCCTTGGTCGGCACTGCCCAGAGGTGGAGGCCACCAGTGAACTTCGGCCTCTGGGGATAGGGCTGCTTGAGGCATCAGCAGAGCTCTTCCATCCTTCAGAGCTGTTTGTCTTTACTGTGCTGCAGGTCTGTCAGCTGTTCTCTTGTTTCTACTCACTTGCTGTAGTCCCATTTCCCAGGATTCTCTGAAATTGTCTCATCATTTCTTCGTGCATTAAAATTCCATTATATTTATATACAGTCTGACCTGCTGCTCCCCAGCTGATGGCACCCCTCAGAGTCTAGCTCTTTGTCCTTTTAATATCCCTTTCAGCCTGGTACGGACTGGTGTGGAGTGAAGTGAGCAGAACCAGAACGCTATACACAGTAACAGCCACAGTGTGCGATGACTAACTTGGATAGACTTAGCTCTTCTCAGCAATGCAAGGATCTAAGACAGCTCCAAAAGTCTCATGATGGAAAATATTATCCACATCCAGAGAAAGAACTGTGGAGTTTGAACGCAGATCGAAGCAGACTATTTGCTCTTTTTTTTTTTTCTGTTTTGTTTCTTCTTTGTTGTAGTTCTTCCTATTGGTTCTAATTCTTCTTTACAACATGACTAACGTGAAAATATGGTTAATAGAATGTATACGTAAAGCCCATATCAGATTGCACACCTGCTAGGGGAGGGAGGTGGGGAGAGAGGGAGAGAAAATGTAAAATTCAAAAGCTTATGGAATTGAATATTGAAAACTAAACATAAATTAATTTTTTAAAAAATGTCACTTTAAGAATCAGGAAGTTTGTTGGCCCTTCTGTTATCCTCCCTTTAGCCCTCATCGCCATCCCCAAACCCAAACATTGGGTTTGAT